ATCATCATTTCCTCAACATATACAGAAAGACTTCAGCATATACCTTATGTAAACTGATAACTATTCTGATTTTTTTGCGTTTCCCCACTCACTATAATCTGTCTCAGATGGGTTCTTCATGGGATGTTAACTCCCTGTGTGCCAAAAGACAAGACAATGGAATCTGTTAATCTGAAACATTAATGATATTAAAGTACCTTATCTTTTAAAACGCAGGTGGGGGAATCGGTAAATTCATGCTGTTAGTGCTGATGAAAAACCCAAGGCAGGGTCACAGCTTTAGAAGGTACCCAGAGGTCATATAAATAAATTTCCTGCCCTAAAGTCAGTCATAAGAACAGTTTCTGCTGGATCAAGACCAATATTCCATCTACTGGGGCATGCCCCTTTTCACAGTGGCCAACCAGATGCTTCCAGAAGGCTTACAAGCAGGACAAAGCTTGTTGCACTCTACAGCACCATGGATTCAGAGGGTCACTGTCTTTGAATGTGGAAGTCATTATGTCTGATAGCTATTGACCGACTTCTCTTCCGAGTCAGAATCCTCTGTATATAACGACAAAACACAAACAGATGGGTATCACATGTTTTTTGAAGTGATCCAATGTTACATTTATGTGACAAGAGACAGATAACGAAGACAAAGTTGGTTGTTGCTCAGTTTTGGGCATATTTGTTATTGCTCTTCGCTGCTTCCTTAAGTGTTCTCCACCCTCCCTTCCTACATATAAGTGTTGATATGGAGGGCAGGACTCAGTGAAGTTCACCCAGATGTACAATTCTGCCTTAACAATATTCAGTGTCCATACTGAGTTTCCTATTTAACATGGATAAAGGTTCCCAAATATGCTGTCCATAAACATATGAATGTATGACAATATCTGCTTGAAGGAAAATCCTGTCAACACTAACTTTAGAGCATTTTCCCTACAGAAACCCAAAACCTTTGTGTGAGGAATAGGAAACCAAGATATATTTACACGTGGGACACTGGCATGCACTTGGACTGTAACAAACTGATTCTGCTTAACATATGACACTTTGCGGGTTTTGGGCCATTTTTTCGGCCCATGTTCAGCACTGAAGCAGAATCCAGAAAAGAAAATAGTATAATATGTTTAGTTTATAATGACTTCAAATGTGAGCAGTTTACAAAAAAAGAATGCAGTTATAGATGTGGGCAAATATTATCATAAATGCACTGCAATGTCTTATGAGTTCCTTCAGAACACTTGACTCACTGCTAGTATTTTATCATCTTGTTCCAAACCTCCTTCATTTTGGATGTGTTTATCTCAAAATAAAAATGTGTAACTGTAAAATATAGCTCATGGTGAACTTGTTTTTCCTCACTAGATTAAAGTTATGTAAAGAATAGGAGATCTACAATGGTCTTACAACTAATTTCTTGTGAATATCTTACAACAGGATTAAAATACCAACCTATAAGAAACTATTTGGTTAAATATTGGATGAGGCGGGGAAGACTACAGTTGACTTAACTGGTCTTGAAGAAAGCAGATCTTCTGACCTAGACATACATCACTTCCTCATGAGAAAACTCTCCATAAGTATGGAGAGCATGGCTGAATTGACTCATTTCAGTGGAACCAGCAGAGGAGTAATTTCTTGTGACCCTACTGGCACAAAACTTTCTCACTAGGGTAAGTGTCAAATGTTTGGTCATCTAAATGTCTATGTCTAAATGTCTAAGTGTCAATGTTTGGTCATCTAAATGTCTACCAGAACAACTTGTAACAGCAAAAACATTGAACCAAAGGTAAATTCAGGAGTAATCAGCAAAATATTCCTATTCTTTTGAGTATAACCCTGATGTGAGTAGCTCAGCATGCTGGTTGGTGATGTTTTATTTCCCCAATACACACAGACAGCAGCTCACTGTCTGAAAAGCCACTTTTAAAATGTTGGGTAGTTCCAGGGGTCATTTCGTAGAAAAAGAGCTAGGGGAACTCATTAGCATAACTCATTAGCATATGCCACACCACCTGACATCAGGGGCCCGGCGGTGGACCTGCAAGGCCAGCGGGAGTGCAAGGAAGCCCTGCCAAGGCCCTCCCTGGCCCCAAGCAGGCAGAGGTGGGGAGAGGCGGGGAGGAAGCAACTTACCCTCCCTCTTCTCCTGCCTCCACCTGGCTGAATGAGGGCCGGAAGCGAAGCGGCCGGAAGCAGGGGGCGAGGCTTCGTCATGTGCCCCGCCCCCCTGCACCTCACCTGGGGGAACTGCGTTCCCCCCTGAAATGACCCCTGGGTAGTTCCAAAAGCAGTGCAAGGAAGGCAAAGAATGAAGGCCAGGATGGGTGCATGTCTGGACTGACCATGTGACAGAGCTTAAGAAATCTTTTCTTCCATTTGAAAGAAAAGGATGATCACTTTGACACCCCCTCCCTCATTGTGTGAATACCTAGAAGTTACCTAATTTGTGCTAGTAAAACAGCAGTGGCCAACCTTTTTTTAATTTAGCAAATAGATTCTTAAATGGAATCAAACCATTATTGTTTGGATTCCCACAAACAAACCATTGTTCTTGGGCTCTGTACCTTACAGTACCTTACTTAGCTTTGTCAATACAATTCTATCCTATGTTTTCTGGACCCAAAATGGCCAAGCAAAAATGGCTGCTGTTGAAAAAAATGAAGAAGTGATGGGCACGGCTGCAAAAGGACACCCTAGTATACGAAGTTTTCTGGCTCAGAATATCAACAAAGGAAATGTCAAAAACGAGAGGCAGTACATCACCGTCATCTGAGCTGTTTGATATAATTTGCTTACATGGGAATAGGTTTTCCCATGATTCAACTGTGACACCAACACACATACACACACATAGCTGAGGGGAGGCAGGAACTCAGGAGCCTGGAATAAAATCTTTGTGCCTTCCTGAGAGAACTCGCCTCATGCTTTTGTGAAGTACAGTTTTAAAGAGAAGAAAACAAAGATGAGTGAATTGTTTCGGCCTTAATCTTACCACTTCAGTCATATTTATGCTTTGTATGGAAATCTTTATTTGATAATAAAAATAGCATTCACAGACTCTTTCCTTCTGAGTAGCTACATCATATACATTATGTTTTGTCCCAAGGAAAGAATCTTTTTACTGGGTAAAGTCCACATCTACTTATAACTAATGTTATGTATAAACCCGATTAAGTCAAATAAAGCTATGAACAATGTAGTATTTATATATGCATAGTGTTTGTTTGTTTTTATAAAAAAGATTGGCCCACATTACTGCTTTTCATCAACACAGAAAAGAGCATTATGACTATAGCACACTGCAAGAAATGATAACTAAGGAACACAGACTGCACGCAAGTGCCTCGGAGTCACACAGGCAGGCCTTCACCGTGAGGAAAGATAGGCGACTCAAACCAACAAAAGCATCAGAGCGACTCTGCTAGTCTCCTGTTTAAAACAGCTTTACATACCTGATTCAGTTTACATTAAAATATATTCCCCATGAATCAATTTGTTCCATTTTTTCCTCAGAAATATAAACACTTAGCACATTCCTCACAGCTAATTTTTTTGTCATAAATTCTCTTTTATACAAGAAAAAAGGCAACAGTTTGTCATTTTCTTCAACAGGCTCTATTAATTACAATTTAAACTCTGTACACACAATGATTGGCCATCTTTTTTTTTTTCCTTTTTCCTTTACAGTACCATGGCAACAACAGTGATAGACTGGTAATCCTTATTGTGGGTGTGTGTTTGTGTGTGTGTATGGAAAATATGGTGAAACAGTATACTTGTACACACCAATGCACTGTAAAAAAAAAAGCAGCAATTTTAGACTTTTAGTGGTCCAACAGTAATGGTAAACGTTTTGGCTCAGCTAGGCAGTAATCCATTAAAATCTCATATCAATACTACAGCAGACTTACCACACAAACTTGCCATTGTAAAAAAAAATACACCTTAGAACCTTGCATTGGTGTTTTCCATTCTTTACAATTAAAAGTACAGCATAAACCATATCAGAGGTCAACAGCCTGAAATCCAGGCTTTCCAGACATTGCTTCTTTTTTCTTCATCTCAAGTAAGAGTGATGTGGTGAATGAAAAACAAAACATCCCCCCCACAAGCAGAAGCATAGAGAGGCAGATCCAATTTGGCAATAATAATAATAATAATAATAATAATGATAATGATAATGAGTCTGATGAGTGACCCCATTTTCTGAAAGGAGCATTTGTTCCTCAAAATGCATATTGACCAAGGAACCAAAATTAACATCTGCTTCCTTTCAAAGCACACAAATGACAGCATTTGGGTTCCAGTTTCATCCACATAGTCTTAAAAGCGGAACATGAGCCACATGGGTGCCACCTTTGCAAGACATTGTTTAATGTTGCAGAGATGAACAAACTGGATGGCCTATCCCCCGCATGACACAAGACACAATGGTGACCCGTCCTCGGCAACCTTGCTTCCTTTTAAAGGAGACCCCAAAGCACTCACTGTTCATGGAACAAACTATAAATTCCTTAATATCTTTGTGCTGCTTGGATTTGTATAAATATCCTTCATCCCAACAGAAGACTCTGTGAAGAGTTAATATTGGCAAGACATTCCTAATTTGTAAAGGGGGGAAAAACACCCTCCTTCTACAGTAGTTCTCAAGTTTTTAACTGAAACACTCCTCTTTTCTTTCCTCCAACTGATCCTAGAGAAAATCCTACACACATCATAGCGGTGAATCACTATTTGAACAAATCAGTACGATTGGTCAATTATTATTATTTTTTTACCACTGGTGGTTTGCTCTCCAAATAACTAATGAAAGGGCAACAAAGCAACAAAACAACCAGTAGGAATGATGCTAATTATGGTTACTGATTATGGAAGAACATAATTTTTATAATCCTTCAGGCTGAACATTTGGCAAGTTTCTTTTTAAAAATGAATACATTGGAAAATACTTTAATGTGGTTATACACTAGGCTCAACTCTCTGTGCATATTCTCATGATCAGATTTTATTTGGATTTTTGCTCTTGGAGGCATTAGACATGAGGAACTAAAATGGATTCAGATTTGCTACCTTCCTTCTTATGAACTCTGAATGCTGGGAAAGGCCGCAATAGTATCATAGGCCTACAAAGCCCATTAGATACTGAGGTCAGTACTGCACTCTTTGTAGGGTCTCCTTCTTTGCTCAAGGGATTGCCTGTTATTTTTACTGGTGTCATATTTTAGAGTGCATTCTTCCTTCTCCCTGAAGCCAACTTTGTCATCTCTATTCCTTTTGTCAGGAGACCTCTCTCTCCTCCGTTCTGGGGTCCTCTCTCTCCTCCTGTCAGTTGACTTTGCCCTCCTTTCAGAGGGTGAGCTCTCTCTCTTCCTGTCTGGTGATCTCCTTTGATCCATCAGCCTCTCAAGTGACCGCCTCCTTCTGCTAGGTGAGCCATCCCTCCTGCGGGTTGGAGACCTTTCTCTTCGTCTCTCTGGAGAAAAGTCTCTCCTCTTCTCATGCCGTTCCCTTCTCTCTAAAGTATTATCAGCACTCCTTGTCCCTTCCCTTCTCTTCTCTGGAGATTTCCGTTTCTGTCCGTTGATCATCACCACTCTGTCTGACGGTCGGTCTCGCCTCCCTTCTGGTGACCTGTCTTTTTTCCTGCCTGCTGTGCTATTGCTGTTTTTAGAAGTTCCGTTCCAAGTGTGGTGTTCATTGGATTGTCTGCCAAACTCTTTGCTGCCTTTTGGGTCCTTAAAATATATCCGCTTGTCTCCATGTTGTGATGATTTGTGAAGATCTGGTGGATAACTGGGCTCCAATGATGAGTGTTGTCGTCTGTCAGATGGCATGTTTTTCACTTCCGATACATTTTGTGAACCTGTGGCTGGACTGTTCCTGTCACTGCTGGGGTCTGAAAGAAAGACAACAATAGAACGTTTGGTACCTGTAGCTTCATTTCAGAGTGTGACACCAGTCATTCATTCCTCAGATTTCATTAGTGACAAAAACAAACAATGGTTAAGCAGTCAGTAGGAGACTAACTGAAGCTTTCGTTAATTTCAGTGTAACAGCAAAGGCCGAGAGCTAGAGATTAGTATTGGTGCTTGTCCTCACTATGCCCGTCTTAGGCCAGATATCGGTCCTTTCATTCAGCAGCACAAGTGTGAGAATTTAAAACTTTCCCAGGTTAAAGTGAGAATATTTTAGAATTAACACCTCCAAATCCTGCTTTTCAATTCCCGTTGTACCTTCAGCATAAAAGTTGTATTAGAGGGGGGGAAAGGTGAGATCTCTTCTTGGAAAGGAAAGCTTTCATACCTTTTTTGTTTTGTTTTGTTCTAAGTAGCACTAAAATAAGCGTAACTCTGTGTTTCAGTGTAATTTTACACCACAATGTTTTTGTTCCCCTTTTTAAAAATATCAGGCATACTCCTTAAACCCAATTTGTCTCAGGATATTTAGCGAGTGTGTTGAGGGAGACAATTTTGGTTTTGCCACAATGATTCAACTTAAACACACACAATGGGGGAATGGGTGGCAGATGGGCATGACCTGATCATATTAAAGCAATGGAAAGCTGTGCAGAATGGATCTTTTAAGAATACTTAAATCTTTCTGGATGCCAGAGACAGACGACATACGCTGAAAGATTTTTGACTGGCAAATTGAGAAGCAAAGACTCTGTGCTGGAGTTAATATTAAATGTTGTGTATCATTTGCAATGGATGATATTACAAAAATGGCAAAACATTGCAATTTGGTTGCTTTGAGAGGAAAAAGTATGGTATTCTTTGTTTTGTTTTCCATATGTGTATATATTTTAAAAAATTTAAATCAACTACTCAAGAGCCCAAAAATCGAATCAGAACTTAAAGGTGTTTTTAGGTAAATTAAAATAACCTTGATGACACCAAAACTCCTCTCTTTCTCCTATGCATGCTAAATAGTCACAAAATGTCTTCCCCAATGCAGCCTCTTTTCTTGACAAACTAGATTAGTTTTGCTTTTGTGCAGGCCATCATTTTGATGATTACTATGTGGAAACGACATATGAGCTTCATGTTATCAACTAGCTTTCAAAAAATGGACCATATTCTCTTCTTCCATAGATGCTAAGGTACTTTTGGCTTCTCGTGGCCTGTTGTAAGACTTAAAGAAAGAGAGATAGAGAGACAGAGACCATGTTGCTTAACGTACTTACAATTGAAGGAACTGCAGGGTGCTCAGAATGAATTGCCGTATATACAAAAGGATAGCAAAGCGGAAAGCAATGTGAGAGAATTAGGCCACAGCACAGAAACACCTAAAATTGATTTTAGCTACAAACCGTAGTTTGATTATGGCCCATAAGGTAGAAGCAAGACTCCCCGAGCTTGTCATTTCTCATACATGCAGCGATATTAGGAGGTATCATCGCTGAGGAAGGAAGAGCCCGGCACCAAGAAAAGTAGAAGAAAGAGAAAGAGAAAAGTAGAATGTTTAAATACCCTATAATAAAGAGGAAAGGAAAAAAACCTGCATATTTTATCTCAGAATAAAGAAAAGTTTATTTTTTTTCCAGACAGGATTGTCTAGGCATCACCCAAATATAAGGCTGCAGACACAGCAGTTGTTAAAGCAACGCATTGTAATCCATCATGTACAAAAGGTGATTAGGTAACCCAGACAACTAAAGCATCCATTCTGAAGGGGGGGGGAGGAGGGAGCAGAAAGACATAACTGGAACAGTAACACAGAATGTGAGAGGAAAAATCAGTTAACAGTCAACAGTGACGAAAAGAAGCCCACCAAAGACCACAACATTAAAAATAAGTACAAAAATCATTACAAAAATATACAGCCTCGGTAGAGAAGCGCGTTCCAATCATGTCAGAAAAATATTGGAACCTAACATTATTTTAGAAGCAACTTGTTAGTGACCACGGTGAGAGTTATCGAAGAAGCAAAGCCCCCAATGTCACAAAACGGATAGCAGCAGTGCAACCCCCCTTTTGCTTGGAAATGGAATCAGTTACATGATTTAAAAGTTACTGGCAGCCAAAAACTTAAAAGAAAAGAAAAGAAAAACAAACAAAGAAGCCACCCCACCCCCACGCCCTGGTGCTGGATATTCATCCTCAGTGCAACAGACATTCTTGGAGATGTGAAGCACTTTTGTTTTTTAAACAGGGTATATTTATGATGTTTAGCATATGATACAATACTTTACAGGCAAAGAGAGCATAGGAAAAGACAGAGTAGAAAGAACATTACACAAGTTTAGTTCTGCTGAAAGACGGCCAACTGTACAACCAAAGTGTAAACACAGTCGTTTGAAATCATTAAAGAGTGTAAACTGATTTGTATAGTGGGACCTAGCCTGAATATTCGGTCCAGTGTGAGGTCTTAAGCATATTAAAAACAAAAATAGAGCAACCTGCCCAAAGAAATTCACATATCTGCATTATCATTACTACTAGCAGGTATCAGAGTCATGAGCTAACAAGTGTGAGGGTTTTTTAAAGTGATGATCTATTGGTCTGGGCTATGTTTACAGTAAGGCCTTCTGTAAATTGTGCCATCAAAGCTGCCTTTTAGCAATACCTTGCCTTCCTTGACAAAACCATTCCCTGTAAAACTAACTTCACTGCCCCTTCACCTGTTTACCGCAAATATTTCTTTGACAAGTTCTGAGAGAACAGTAGAAAGAACCCATTTTTGTGCTGACTCCCCGCCCCCCAACATGTTGAAGTCAACCTAAGCTGACTTTTCCCAGGTGATTTTACATCTTGTAAACCTGTTCAACATGGGCCCAGATCAAAACTCCATGTTGACTAGTTCTAACATTTTTGAGGACCGGCTAAACTGACGTCTAGCCATGGATTCAGACCAGTTCAACCTGGTACAAACTTATGGAGAAAAATCAGCTAGTGCCAATTTCAACATGCGAAAACCCATTTGTGAGAATATACCCTTACTTAAAGCACGCTTTCCTATGCCTTTGGGGAAAGCAGCAACAATAGCAGCAGAGTGTGGCATCCCCCTATCTCTCTTTCATTTGTAGGGGACACAGAAAAGGAGACTGGTTGGAATCTTTGTTACGTTCCCTACTAGGATAAAACGAGGAACATAGTTTATTGTTATAATGTTATCCCAAATATGGGGAAGCATAAAGGACATCTTTTCAATCATGTGCTTATATCTCATAACTGGCTGGAAACCAATTATAGTTGGGAAAAGCCCTAGATCTAGGGCATACTTTTGAACAATTATCTCAAATAAATAAGACATAATAATATTATATACATTACTAAGCCACCCCAACCTCTACCTACTCAACTCATACAGTGGTGGACAAGAGGGTGTTTTTTTTCTTTGTTTTTTTTAAATGCTGACCTTGTCTTCCTTGGCAGGCATGTAAAATGTGATCCTCTGTCATAAACACTGGGAATGGCCCTTTGATTTTGCTCATAGTTTGCTCATAGTTTACACAGTCATAAATAAACATACATACTAAAGGGTAAGGGAGGCGGCAGGAGAGGGGGGGAAGGTGCAACTATATATATATATATTTTGTATTGCGTACTTTTAAAAAATAAATTTATAAATATTTACATAAATATAAGGGGACAGTAAGAGCCCAGACACCATCTTGGAATTCATGCCTATAGATACAGACAACAGCCAAGGACAAAAGCCCAACAAAGGCTACAGCTTCAGAATGGTAACACAGGATTTCTGCATTGATCAGAAGAACAACAGAACAATTCATCCGCTGAGAAACAGTTTGGCACAGTTCAATAAACATTCCTCGTTTGGTCAGACAGGAGAGTAGGGTGTGTGTGTTTTTTGTCTCTAAGTTTTTGCCCCCTCTGATCACCAAAAAATACTGCTTTGAAGATGATCTTGCCTGTACACTGTGCCCCCAAAAGAGTCCATAGTAGCAAGCAAAGGATGAAAATGTGTAGAGAAAATTCAGCATAAGCGAGGCAATAAACCATTTGTTGCCAAGGTTGGTAAGACACTGGTGAAAAAGGAGAAAAAAGAGAGAGAGAAAAAAAGAATCCCCGCTTCAGATCTTGAGACATATCATTCATGGAGTGATGCCAGGAGGAAGGAAAGGAATGTTTTCATAGTTTGACCCACCATATTCAGGTACAGAACCATCTCCACGTTTGAGAAAGAGGCGAACTTTGCGGCCACCATTTTTAATCAGTTCTATGGCCCGGGCGTGCTTCATGTTCTTTGTAGTTTCTCCATTGATCTCCAGGATTTCATCACCAATCTATCAGGAAATAAGGAGAGGATCCCTGATTAAAGCAAAACTATGTGGGAAAGTAAAAGTATAAAGATGAAAACAAGATTGGGTAAAGGTAGGCTGGGTAAATATGGTTCAGGATCCGAACCTTATTTATCTAAATTCTTCATATACCTGCCTTTCTCCTGAACAACTCAGGAACCAAGGCGAGTAAGCAATATAAAATACAATAAAACTCTGTACAATCCAGAGTTGTTACAAACATTAAAACAATAACTATAAAATACAATAAAACTACATTAACATACACCCAACTAGCAAGATATTACCCTTTTGTCCTATTTAGACCTCCCCTAAAGCTCTCCGGAATAATTCTGTTTTACAGCCTCATCAGAAAGCCAGGAGGGTAGAAGCCCCCCTGACTTCTTCTGGAAGGCTGATCCACAAGCTTTGGAGCCAAAGACAAATTTTCAAGCTGCTTTCAAATACATATCAAGTAAAATCACTTGTGCCAGAACAGAATTAAAACTCATTCAAATGTTCAGGCAGGCACATCATGTAGTCCTTTACATCGCTGTACCACCTCAAAATGCATGTGGAGATGCTCGTTTGGAAGGCTCGCTATGACAAACCTCCACGGCTGTGGAAAGCTAACACATCAGGAAGAAGACTAAATTCAGATGTGAGTGCATAGTCTCCCATTTGAACCTGCAGTTTCCAAGCAAATGCTTTTTGAACCCCAGTGAAAACATTCAAAATATTTTACCATCAATACCAGAGGTGTCGAACTCATTTGTTATGAGGGCCGGATCTGACATAAATGTCACTTTGTCGGGCCAGGCCATGTGTGCCATAAAACATAAGGTCAGGTACCAGAGATATAAACTGTATTAAAGGACAGCAGCTGGTAAGCTCCGAGTTAGTGTATCCTCACTGCAAGAACCAATGGGCTGGGAGGGGGGTGCAAAGGAAAACCCATATGAGTGGACTGGAGAGCCAGCGGTGCAGCACTGGGCAGACGCTCCTCTGCTGCTTGACTGTCGCAGATGAGGTTGTTCTGCCATGCTGAAGCCACAATCAAAGTGGCTCTGTCCACTCCCCCCGAGCAGTCTCCTGTTCTCTCCCTTACACTAGTTGCTTGTGGGCCACATAAGTGCCCTGGATGGGATGGTTCTGCCCCCTGGGCAGTTCCATGGTCAGACCACCATGCCCTGAAGGCCTGCATGAATGTTTTACCCCGACCCTGCTTGGGTAGTGAGTGTATTTTAGCTCGCCCGCAGAGCCAAATGAACCCTCTGCGGCTTCAGATGGCCCTGCGGGATCCAATGCCCCCTGGCAGCTCGTTGGATGAGTTAGTGGAGGATTGGCATGGCTGACTCTTGGCAGCCATTGATGAGATCGCTCCCTGACACCCTTGCTCTAGGCTGGTCCTTGGTTCACCAAGGAGCTGAGGCTGATGAAGCAAAAGCTTAGATGGCTAGAGAGACAGTGGCGGCGCACTTGCAATGAAGCAACAAGAGCATCTTATAGGACGTTTATGCGATCCTATGAGATGGCAGTCAAAGCTGCAAAGAGAGAGTTCTATGCAGTCACAATTGCATCTGCAAGCTCATGCCTGACCCAATTGTTTGGAACTATTCGGTCCTTAACAGTCTTGCCACAGGGCAGACTAAATGCTAGAGAATTGGACATTGGCTATGAGGCTTTTGAGAGCTATTTTGCAGATAAGAAGTCTTGTTGCTCCGCCACAATCTTCCCACCACAGTTGAGACAGTGAGTGAACTCGAGGCTCCATGCATGTCTTTTGGTCTGATTTTGGATTATTTCAGTCCACTCAGTCTAGAAGAAGTTGACAGATTGCTCTCGACAGTACGCCCAACAATGTGCAGCCTTGATCTGTGCCCTCCATGGCTAATTAAAGCTGGTCATGAGGGGTTTTGAGGTGCCCTCAGGGATATTATTAACAAGTCCCTCTCAGAGGGGCTGTTCCCAGAGGCACTCAAGGAAGCGATGGTCCACCCTCTCTTAAAAAAAAGAAAATCTTTGGATCTGGCCAAATTGGCAAACTACCGGCCAGTTTCCAATTTGCCCTATTTGGGCAAATTAATTGAGAGGACGGTGGCGATACAGCTGCAGAGCCTTATGGATGACACTTCAATGCTAGACCCCTTCCATTCTGGATTCCGCCCAGGCTATGGTATGGAAACGGCCCTGGTCACAGATAACCTCCGGAGGCAACTGGATCGAGGCAGGATGGCAATGCTGTTGTTGTTGGACCTGTCGGAGGTGTTCGACATGGTCAACCATCAGCTACTGACCCACCGCCTCGCCAACACTGGGGTTCAAGGGCTTGCCTTACAATGACTCATCTCCTTTCTCCAAGGTCGGGGACAAAGGGTGGCTCTCAGGGATCAACTGTCCTGAAGGCACCCGCTGATGGGTGGAGTGCCCCAAGGGGCGGTGCTTTCCCTGATGTTATTTAACTTCTATATGCACCCCCTTGCCCAGAGGCATGGGCTAGGGTGTCACCAATATCCAGATGACACCCAGCTATATCTATTGTTGGGTGGTCAGTCCGACTCTACCCTGGAAGATCTGGACTGGGCGCTACAGGACATGACTGGTTGGCTTAGACTGAGCTGACTGAAATTGAATCCGATGAAGATGGAGGTCCTGTGCCTGAGTCGGGGCAGACCGGGGGTAGGGATCCCACTACTAGCCTTTGACAGGGCACTGCTGATGCCAGCGCCGAGGGTCAGGAGCTTGGGAGTGCTCCTGGATGCCTCCTTAACAATGGAGGCCCAGGTAGCAGCCACTGCCAAGGCAGCCTTTTATCATCTTCGGGTGATTAGTCAGTTGGTTCCCTTCCTCAAACACAGTGATTTGGCAACAATGATCCATGCAATGGTTATCTTGAGACTGGACTACTGCAATGCTCTCTACATGGGGCTGCCCTAGTCGCAACTCCAGAAGCTGCAGCTGGTGCAGAATGTGGCAGCCAGGCTGCTGATGGGTCTCCCTATGCGAGAACACATCCAGCCTGTGCTGAAGGCATTGCACTGGCTGCCAATAGCATACCAGATTCACTTCAAGGTGCTGGTTTTGACCTTTAAAGCCCTATATGGTCTGGGGCCTGCCTACCTGATGGACCACCTTTCCCCACATATTCCCAAGAGCACATTGAGGCGCTGGACCGAGAGATGCCAGACTGGCCTCTACCAGGGCCAGGGCCTTCTCAGTAGTGGCTCCACACTACTGGACCTTTTACAGTTCTTCAGGGTCTGTAAAATGGAGCTCTTCCACCAAGCCTTTGATTAGGAGCTGCTACTAATAATGAATAACAACTGAATGGTTAAGGCCCTCTATGTCAACATTAACATCAACAGCCTGTGATATTCTGGACACCGATTTGGCCATACATTTGTTACCATCTTAATATGGAATATTGAGATGTTACCCCCATCAGCACTTTATCTGTATTTGTGACCTGTCATGTTTATGAGTTTTTATGATGTTGCACTGTGTTAATGCATCTGTGTTTTAATATTTTTTAACTTATTGTAAGCTGCCCTGAGCCTGCCTTGGCAGGGAGGGCGGGATACAAATCGAATTAATTAATTAATTAAATAAATAAAAATGTTTGACACCCCTGATTTATACCAAAAGAAAGTCATTTGGAAAAGATTAGGTACATGAAACACTTCACCTACACGTGAACATTCACTATCCATAGTGACTTAAGTAGGGTTTTATTACTATAACACAGCATTCAAAGTCCTGCACAATTGTTGACAGCAAAGCTTGCCTTCTCTGGGAAATGCTTTATTACATTGCTTTGTGCCTGAAAAACCAACCCCAGAGCTCATTTTGAATGGCATAGGTGTGTGGTATTAAAGCATCTCTCAAGGCCTTCTACAGGAAATTGCACTACTGGCCCCACAGTTTCTAATATCCCATTTTGAAGCATAGAAAACCTTCTCAAATCCCATCTTCTGGTTATGCGATACATTTCCTTTCCTTTTCCAGTTTCATTTGTAATTTTTTTAAACCCATGTTTCTTCCCTAAGGCAGAAGCATAAAGTATGTTATGACAAGCTCCCGTCTATAGTTCTGGCCACCCCATCTCAAAAAGCATATCAGAGAATTGGAAATGATGTTGAAAAAAAATAACCAAAATTATCAAGGTGGTTTTCCTTTGAGGAAAAACTAAAGAGTTTGGTGCTTTTCAGTTTAGGAAAAAGACAACTGGGAGGGAGGACATAATCGAGGTTTGTCAATTAAGCACCATAGGATAAATTGGATAGAGAGAATTTCCCCCCCTCCCCCAAAATTCTAGAACTTGGAGGTCATTCCAATGAAGTTGAGGGACAGGTCAGAAAAACAGAAGTACTTTATGCAATAGGTAAAGGTAAAGGTTCCCCTGCTCGAAAGCCAGTCGAATCCGACTCTAGGGTTGCGGTGCTCATCTCCGTTTCAAAGCCGAGGAGCCAGCGCTGTCCGGAGATGTTTCCGTGGTCATGTGGCCGGCATGACTAAACACCAAGGCGCAGGGAACGCTGTTACCTTCCCACCAAAGTGGTATCTATTTATCTACTTGCAATTTCTTGCTTTCGAACTGCTAGGTTGTCAGGAGCTAGAACTAGAGATGGGAGCTCACTCCATCATGTGGCACCCGGGTCTCGAACTGCTGAACTACTGACCTTCCACAGCCTGCAGTTCAGCGTCTTAACCACATGAGCCACCGCAGCTCCTACTTTATGCAATACCAGAGATGTATACTCGAAAATAGAAAAGTAATTTTCAGATTCTGATTTGAGGAATGGTTTCCATACTGGTATTCCACATAATTTGGGTTCCCAGTACCACTTCAGTATTCAGGCTTTCATAATTCCAGATATTTGGAGGTACGTTATTCCCTACCAGGGGGGGGGGGGCTTTTCCCAGGTGGCTTAAGTGGCTGTTTTCCAGCCAAATGGTACTAAAAGTACAAGGAACCTAGTTCTGCCTGTCTGCTGAGGACCAACCAAAGTGGTCTAATTTCATAGACTCCTGAACAAGGTGCTCCTAGCCATCCTAGTTGTCTTCATTTTTTTCCTATTGGGAAAAAATCCATGCTTTCTTCATGACAATGAAGAAAATAGCCAAACACACAAGAGTAACCACTGGCCCAAAGGCCCCCAAATGAAAACAGAACCAACAAGCCCAACAGAATCGATGTCAAACCAGAGAAGCCAAACCAAACCAACTAAAGTAAGGAACGCTATTGCTAGCCCAACACAACCAATGTCAAGCCACAAAAGACCAGGAGAACCAGGGCAAGTGTGGGAAGCCCAACATAACAAATGTCCTTAAAATTAAAAATCTTTTTGAAACACAGAAAATGCAAAGCAGTTAAAATTCTAAAGCAAGCCAAGAGAAGAGAATCCAACAAAACAGCACAAGCTTTTACAGTCCTTTTAAAAACACCATGAAACAAAACAAATATAATTATTTTTAAAAGAACCACAAAAATACAGAAAAACTCAAAACAATATTTTAAATAATATTTTAAAACAAAGTCTACGGCTGGCAAGTCTGTCCTGAAGATGTCCAGGCACAGAAGAAGTTCTTTTCAAGCAGGCAGCTGCAGGCAGCAGAAATCCAAGGCACAGACCAGAAACAGCAGCAGTAAGCACCAATAGGATCAAAAATTAAAATAAATAAATAAAAATCTAGCTCTGAAATGTAGTCAAGTTTCAGAGCAGACCTACTTTTTATCCTCTTTGCCTATGCTCAGGGAGCCATGGAGGGCAGTGAGAGAATCATCATGTCTGGGTAGACAGGCCTAGTTCTCCCCCTAACAGCGGATCCCATTTTTTGGGACAGCTGCCTGCCTCCCTCCTGCCCACCTAGGAAACCTGTTAAATAGAAGAAAAACAGGTTTTGGAGCCTTAAAATGCCAGCCTCAGATATTCCTGAATATTTCTGGAAATTTCTGGAAATATTCAGGACCTGATTACTCGTATTCTGAGAATCCTGAACTAAAATACACCATCATATATATATTGAGAAATGCTAGATGTTCAAGCTGGATTCAGAAAAGGAAGAGGCATCAGAGATCATATTGCAAATTTATGCTGGTTACTGGAGTGTATGAGAGAATTTCAGAAGAAAATCAGCTTGTGTTTCACAGACAACAACAAAGCTTTTGACTGTGTGAATCATGAAAAGCTATGGTTGGTTTTTAAAAGAAAATATCTGATTTTTTTTTTAATACACAACTTGTACTCTGGGCAAGAGGCTACTGTTAGGACAGAATATGGAGAAACAGAATGGTTTCCAATTGGCAAAGGTGTCAGAGAAGGTCTCTGACATCCCGTCTCTTCAATCTATAAGGAAAACTGGATTAGATTTAGATGAAGGGGGAATGAAAATTGGTGGAAGGAACAATTTGAGATATGCAGATGACATGACATTACTGGCAAGAAATAGTGAAGACATGAAACAAGTGATGAAAGTTAAAGAAGAAAGTGTCAATGAACATAAAGAAGATGAAAGTAATGACTACTGAGGAATTACACAGCTGTAAGGTTGACAATGAAGAAACTGAAATTGTTAAAGATGATCTATTAGTTGGCTCAGTTCTCAAGCAAAAGGAAGACTGCAACCAAGAAATCAGAAGGAGATTTAGATTGGGAATGGCATCCATGAAGGAGCAAGAAAGATCTTTAAGTTTAAGGCTCAATATTGAGATAATTCATACTATAATTCAATATCAACATAATTCCCCATTACTAGATACAGGTGTGAAAGCTGGACAATAAAGAAAGCTGACAGGAAGAGAGTTGATTCATTGAAATGAAAACAAACCTGAACTTTCCCTAGAAGCTAAAATGACTAAACTGAGGCTATTGTACTTTGGTTATATTATGAGAAGACAAGAGTCACTGGAAAAGACAATAATGCTAAGAAAAGTTGAAGGCGGGAGAAAAAGAGGAAGACCCAACATGAAATGGGCTGACTCAATAAAGGAAGCCATTGTCGTCAGCTTGCAGGACCTGGGCAAGGCTGTCAACAACAGGACATTTTGGACGTAATTAATTCATAGGGTCGCCGTAAGTCAAAAGTGACTTGATGGCAATTAACATACACACATAGTGCAATAAAAAAGACTCCAGTATAAAACACCAGCCAGCAAAGTACCAAAGGACCTTTTAAAAGGAATGGTCTTACAGGTATTCCTAAAAGCTGTCAACATGGGAGCTCCTGACCTCTATTGGCATCTCATTCCATAAGGCTGGGGCCAGTCCTGAGCAGGCCCAAGACTGAGCTGAGGCCATTTTGGTCACCTCTTGGAAAGGGGGCAACAAGAAGCTGCTACAAGTGTAGCTGGCGCAGATCATGAAAGGCTTTAAAACATATGAACCAGCACCTAGAATTGACTCAGGAAATAAACAAGTAACCACTGAAGCTGTCTCAACATCGGCATAACATATGTAAAAGCCAAGCAGCTACATTCTGTACCATTCTGGAATGTTGTACTAGATGAACCTTTGGTCTGGCCCGGTATGTTCCTAAAACAACACGTTTGAAAAATCATAGTTCATAAAATTACTTTAATCCATACCATATATTCAAATTTAACACCATTAGTGCAAAGTGCTATAAAACCCTTAACTCACAACTGTGATCAATGCAACAAGATTACAAAATCTGGCCATGGTATTCCTCAACCAGTCACAGGACTGATATGACACTGATTTGGCTCAAGGACACTGTAGACCAGATCACATTAGGAAGTCCTTCACTACAAAAGGGGTTCTGACGTCCTCCACAGGTCACATGACGTTCTGAAAATTCAGGGGCTTCAACATAATATTGTTTAAAATGATTTAAAAAAGAAGAAGCAGAATTTGAAAAAATCTTCAGTTTATAATGGTATCTCAGGCCAGACATACCCTCATTTTCCCGCATCTCTCAGCAGGGCCATCCTCTGCTAACCGCAACACGTAGAGATCCATGTTATATTCTCGGCCGCCTCGCAGGCTAAAGCCAAAACCTTTGGCTCCTCTTTCAAGTTCAACTGTGTAAAAATCCTGGTCCGGCTGGAGTAGGGCGGGGAAAACAAGAAGAAGACATTTGCAGCGGGTGTCTTTCAGCCTTAGAAACTGCTTTTCAAATTAATATGAGGAATACACAAATCACGGTTTTCACCCCTCTGCTTGTTCTTAAAGAAGCCTAGTTAAGAGGAATGGATAATGGTCAACTTGGAAGACATTTCTGAGTATTAAAAGTCATTAAGTCTTCTTTTTGCCACACTAACATAATGTACAGTTATATTTTCCCATTTTATAATTATTCCCATGATATTTATTGACATAAAAGATAACTAACAAAAATAGAAAATGTCCACCGCCTTTATCCTTTCCTCTAGTAAGCTAGCATGCAACAGAAAGGAATCACTCTCGTTTCTATGGTAATTGCCAGCAGGAGAGGTCACAGATGTGTGAGGCATTAACAGGCAATGTAACAGGAACAAGGACACCTACAGCACGGATAACTGGAGAGCCACTTGGCAGAATCCTTTACTACACTGCTATCTTACCTTCTCAATGTACAGTTTGGAACACAATTTACTTCCAGGGCTAGCCTGAAACAATACATTCCTGTAAATGCACCGTAAATATTATTTTCATAAAAAATATTAGCTGCTTTGATTTTACTGGTAACAGCTATCTACAACAAAGCGTCTTTTGAACTGGAGCATCACCATGAGCTACACAGTGACCTCCATTTCTCAAACAAACAGGAGAAAGAAGGCGCAGGGCCCCCATTGCACACATTTCCTCCTGGAAAGCAAGTTGCAAAATGGCAGGCAGCATAAATGGAACGTATTTGAAAAGAGTTCCTTACCTGTGAAGCTGGGGGTGGCTTGAAATCGAACTGGGACTCCTGCTTTGGTTTTGTGTTGTTCCTGTTCAGTTTAGAAAAGGACAGGGGAGGGAGGGAGGGCGAGAAACAGGAGAAAAACACATTCAGTTTTATTTGCAGTCAAGGTAGCTGGGAAGTTAACAGGAGACACCCCACATTAACAAAGGCGCTGAAAAACAACACAAGCTGACCTGGTCTCCTGTGGTATTTGCTGAGGAGTATGCGTGGTTGTAATTGTTGCAATTTTTTCTGCATTGGTCAATAAAGTAGCATTGGAGGACTCTGCAAAAGAAAACGATACTCTTTGTGAGGCAGACTGTTCTTGTAATCACAGTTCGCCCGCAGCTTCCCTTGGGCTGAAGCATCCCATTCGAAGGTATCAAATACATTTTTAAACAACACAACACTCCAGAGGGCTTTGATCTAGCCCACATTTGGAAAGTCAATATCAGAAAGGGGGTCACATAAGTAGTTAAGTATTTATTTAACATTGTGCCAGTACAGTGATCGCCTACAAACCTTTATCAAGTGAGGAAAGCTTATGAAATAACTGGTCTATGAAAGTAAATAATACTGGCATTTTTCCTTTTCCCATAGTAGCTGTCAAGGCACAACTGCATGGAACAACAATTCCAGATGTCTGGACTATATGTTACTTTTATAGCCCTTTATTGTTTAGGGCTTCTTTAACTTGCTTTCTTGCTCTCCATCCCTATCCTCTTTACAACATAATTTGCTTCACAACTAAAATATAGACCTCGTGGATGCAGGGGAAAAACTTAAGACAATACAACATATCAAATAATTTTACCTTTCATTTGTACTACTATACATTAATATATAGTTTAAGCAGAAATGACAAACACTTGTTTTCTAGAAATAAGATGCAACTCCTAATGAGGACTCGAGCAAATATTTGCTACTTTTGATATTAGCTTCTAAAGGGGAACATTTAGTCAAAGAAATTATTGCAAAAATGTTCATGCTGTCAAACAATGTCAGTGTTGTTCAGCATGCTTCCATCTTTCAGCACTGTTTCAACCCTGGACACAATGTCTGTCTTCATTTGCCTAGACTACCTATTCACCCTAATTGGCCATGGCGGACACTTTAATTTTATCTATAGGCTTCTGTGACATCACCATGCCTGATGCAGTAACGTCACTAACAAAAATCACATAGGGTCATCGTGGTTGATCTGATTAAACAGTTATAAGGGTAAATGAGTCAAGGACAGTCAGGGCAAAGAGATACTGCACTGAAATAATACAAATATTTTACAGTAAGAGTAAAAAAATCCCTAAGCACAGAAGACTCTTCTCAACATTCATTAAAATCAGCATGAAACAAGGAAAGCAGAGTTGGCTCCTGATCTTAATCTCTTTTAGATTAAAAAAAAATTAAAATGTTTCTATCCCATACTTTCAATTAAAAACTCACGAGGGGGTTTACAACAAGAGACTATATGATTATGAGTGCTAGACTAGGACCAGAGGAGTTTGGGTTGAGAGCTTAGCAGGGGTGTGATGCCATACAGTTCTCCCACCAAAGCTGCCAGTTTCCAGGGAAACTGATCCCCACAGTCCAGAGATCAGATGTCATCCTGGGAGATCTCCATGCCCCACCTGGAGGCTGGCAACACTAATCAGAATTCTCAGGATTCTGTCTCAAAACACACAGCACCATCTCATGCTATGGTTTGACAATTTGGTCATAATTGCAAGCCACAGTTCATGCAAACTGTAGTTGGTTGATATGTTTGAAACACGCCTTGGTGTGAATGAGCCATCATCAATATTGCATAAAAGACTGGGCCTCTCACATTAGCACTAACATAATGCTGTTATCTCTCAGTGCACATGACGGCACTTTATAGAATGGGAAAAGTAGGCTTTAGGAGGGATTTTAAGGAAATGAGACAATTGGCATCACAGGTTTTCTGTGAGGCAGCTGCATGCAAGTGGGCAAAAGAAGAGAAATGGCAAAGTCATTTGAGGGAGAAGGAATCTTTGGGATGGCTGAGGATGGTGGAGCTGAAGGGAGAGAGGTCAAAGGCACAGAAGAAGAGGATGTGAGAGCAGACAGATAAAAGGGGAGGTGAATATAATGGAGGCCTTTGATGGTAAGAAAGATGCCTCAGGGAACCCCAACAGAGAGGGAAAGCAGAAGAAAAGCTTTGCCTACGGAAACAATAAATGAGTGATTAGGTAGGTAGGGAGAGAAGCAGCTGAGAACAGAGTTATGAAAACCTAAGGTGTGAAGGGACTCAAGCATGATAGAGTGATCAGCTGTATCAAAGATGGCAGAGAAGTCAAAGAGGGCAAGGGCAGAATAGAGACCACTGGATCAGCAGTGATTTTTTTTTATATAAAGGCAGTTTCAATTGAGTAAGAAAACTATTAGGATAAACACCTTCATGCACCTGAAGAATGGGCTTCGGCCTTTCCCCATGTGCCATTTTCTCATCCTGAAACTATCCCTGGAACCACCAGCTGGGGAAACTTACATCCCTCCTGGGATACATGTGAGTTTTCCCATCTGGCCCAAAAGCCCCTCCTCCTCGGACTGTTTCGGGCTGGGGAAATGTCACAGTTTATGCGTGACAACTCTGACACAAGATGGGGATCCCAGACTAAACCTATTAATGTGAGAGGAGGCCTACACTCTTCTCAGTCCACTGTAGGGTGATTTAGAAGGGTGTAACTTAGGAATCCTTGAACACTTGCTGGCTGGGTTCACATTATGCTTGCCAGTGGTGATCAGGTGGCTGATCAATTGACACCTCAACTGACAGCAGTTTGCAATCTTCTTGTGTCTGTCCACAGGAACCGCCTACTTGCAGACATCAAAGCCCAAACTAAGCGTCAGTCAAGAATCAGCTTTTAATTTCCACCTCCAAACCTCTCATTAGGTTCAGCAAGGCAAGGACTTAGCAACATGTTTGGGAGACAGTTTCCATTTGGCAGCCTTTCGAGGAGTTCATCAGGAGTCAAACACACACATGTGTTTGACAGCTGACAATATGTTCAGCCGTCAAACACATTTACTACCAAATCTGCAGCATCCCTAGTGCATCTCTGCTGAGGATTGTACTGCAAAATGCTGTGGAAGGAATTGATTCAAAATATTTCTGTTCCATTTTTCTATTAATAATGTAGTAGCTCACAACATTAAAAACAAAATTCCACAAGAGAAAAAAATATATATTTGGCAACCACTGGCATCCAAAGAGCTACTATGGTTTAGCGGCAAGAGTGTCAAGACTAGCATCTGGGAGGTCCAGGATCAAATCTCCATTTTTCCCACAAAGCTTGTTTGGGGACCTTGAGCTAGTTATTCACTCAGCCTAACCTACTTCACAGGTCTGTCGTAAGAACAAACTGGAGGAGGGGAAACACATTACAGGCTGTCCTGAGTTCCCTGAAGAAATGCCAGGATAAAAAACCATAAATAAAAGCAATAAGCAAAATCACAACCCTCCGACAAAGGAAATGATTTTTACAATAACAAGGATTTTTTACAATAACGGGAAGTGGCGGCGGCTACAAGCATGGACGGCTTCAAAAGGGAATTAGATAAGCATATGGAGCAGAGGTCCATCAGTGGCTATTAGCCACAAGGTATAGATAGGGGCTCTGGGGCAAGTGATGCTCTGTCTTCTTGGTGCTTGGGGGGGGGGTCAACAGTGGGAGGGCTTCTTATGTCCTGGCCCCACTGGTGGACCTCCTGATGGCACCTGGTATTTCTGGCCACTGTGTGACACAGAGTGTTGGACGGGATGGGCCTTTGGCCTGATCCAACATTGGCGTCTCTTATGTTCTTATGCCCAGTTAATATCTCCAGACAAGGTGTTTGAAAAACATGGCACCATTATAGCAAGGGCCCCATCTCCAGTTTCCCTCCCCAGAGTGGAGCTTGCAATGAGTACCAAAGGCCATTCCCACATGGGTTATTTGCCCTAAATGCATCGTGGTGCATTTGTACATCACATCGAGTTTTCACAGCTTTTCTCACATCTTTCCCAAGCCTTTTGAGAAATATCACAGCAAAACGTGGATGGCTGTCCCAAAGCTGCTAAGAAGAACTGTAGAATGGGCAGGGCCACCTTTCTCTTGTCCTTTCCCCAGGACAGGGTGCCAAACACAGTCAACCAAGCCAGTGCTAACAGAAGCAGTCACCAAATCAGACTGAAACAAACATCGGAAATCCATGTCAAACCACAGTGTTTGGAGCTAAGCTTGAGCACCTTGCACCTAGAGATTTACACCTGGTTGAGAGCTGGCTCAAGCACCAGGATGTAGAGGATGTTTCTTTAAGAAAGGTGGAATGAATTCACACTTCAAAATGACCAGGATCCACCCACTCAAGAGGGCAGTAATCTCTTCCTTATGCCCAATTGGTCCCTCTAGCATGAGAATATCAACTAAGAAGGGCAAGGGTTGAGCCAATGGATGATAATCTACAGCTCCCCAAGCATCCTGTTTAAAATTCATTCAAGCAAAAAAAGAGAGGATGTAGAGAAGTGCCTGACATGTTAAACTGACTGCATACTGAGATGGGAGTATTTTTCTAAGCTAGTATAGTTGTGCAATAATGTTGCCGAGTCTCCCAACAATGACTGACCTATAAAGAGTTAAACCGCTTGGTGTCTACATTTATGAGAGACTGCTTCTTCCCTTTTTCTCTACCACTATAGTCTTTAGGGGCAAGCAAAAGTCTTCTCTGCATTATGCTATTTGCACACCGAGCTGAGCAGTAAAGCACATTATGAGACATGGCTGGAACACAACTGTGGAAGCAAGAAAGAGGCCCCAGAGCCAAATGTGGCTCAGTACAGAAACGAATATGGCTGTTTAAAGGACTGTAGGGTTTCTTAGACATGCTTTAAAGAAAGGGAAGCAGGCAATTGGTTGGCCACTGTGTGAAATGAGGCTAAATAGACTGGCCAGATCCAGCAGGTCTCTCCTTATATTCTTAAATGACTGAGGTAAACACTTGCAAGTACTCAAAGCGTGAACCATGCACAGATTTTTGCCACTACATGAAAAAACAATTTCACAAGGTACTTATTCTGTGTGTCATTTCCTAATAGAGAATACACAAGAACCAGTGTTCGGGCTGCGGAAACTTTATGGAATGTGTCAATTTATCAGTAATGTTAAGTTTTATAGTTTCAGTTATGTAAATGATGGGCTCCCTTATACTGGTTCTTTGTTTCGCTCGGAATTTTGACATAGTCTGGCTCTAATTATAAAAGGCTGCTGACCCCAGTTCTAAGATAATAATTCCAGAGGGTCTAACCATGATAGTCCTTTGCAGAATAAACAAACAGGAGCCTTGTAGCACATTAAAGGCTAATACATTTTTATTCTACCATAAATGTTCATGGACTAAAACACACAGCATGCATCTAAAGAAATCCATGAAACCTTACGCCAAAATAAAAATGTGTTACCTGTCTCTAAGTTTCTACAAGATTCCTGTATAATTTTTCATCTTGTAGAGTCTGGAAGCACCTAAAAAGCAAGTACGTGGAGGAATATCACATTATCAGTCCTCTCCTCTTTCGACTACACTCCTGCAGATGAAGGGAAGGATTCTGTGACTGAATATGTCTTCCTGGCCACACAACAGCCGCTTTCTGCAGCTATGTTGACAGTTCACACACAGATCAAGCCTTGTCTTCTCCTTGACATGCTGGTTTGGGTTCCAAAAGCCATAACAACTGACTTTGAAAAAGTCAGATGCGGCAACTTCCATGCTGTTACTTTTATAGGGTTTTTTTTGGGGGGGTGGGGGGGGTTGCTCCATAACTGATTTACGGGGGAATCACTATGTGTTAGCATTAGCAATGGACATCAGTTTCGTCATAAATTAATTGACTACTTAAATGTCCTGCAAAGCATTGCGGAAGCAGCATTGGAGGAGAATGGGCAAACTCATTACCCCCAGTATCATCCTAACCAAGTGGAGAGATCAAGAAATTAATCAATATCTGAGTGTTCACATGTTTTCTGTGGCTTCATGAAATTTTCAAACAAACTGCTTGCATTATGTTGTACGAGACAGTGATGCTCTAGAGTAAGGGACTCTCTTCTAAAATAAAAGCACATGGAGCAGGCTTGTACTTCTGACACAATGAATGAATCCACTAAATGGATTTTTTTCTATTTCAAAGTTTCTGCCTTGCTCTCTGTCCAGAGCCAACAACTCTTCAGTCTGGAAGCATCTCCTGAAACTAAATGATGAGCACTGAAGAAAAAAATCTTCCACAATTCAAAGAGAGAAAAAACTTATTTTCAACAAACTTAAAATATGGTGATACCTTTTTAATTGCCTTTTGCTTTCCTACCTTTTTCTAACCACATAAAACTCCCAGGATTTAAATGGAGGAAAGACAAGAGGAGAAACCAACATCTTAACCTTACATGTACAACCATCCTTTCCAGACAAACAACCGATTCGGACGACACAGAATGCACATCAGATTTAAGTGATAGTATTTTAGAACTGCAAACCAGGAAGAGGATTTCATAAGAAGTGGGTATGATTGACAATTTTGAATGAAAGGTGGAGCCACTAGCTTCCCAATTCTTCTTCTCTGACTCAAGCTAAATACTGAAAGTAGTCTTTCTATGAAGAACAGGTGGTACTGTACACCAACAGACGGAAAGAGGTAATGGGCTGAACGGTCACAGAACTGCACTGGACCGCCAACTAATCACTTGTGATCATTAGAGAAAATAAGCATCCTCCCTATATCTGTAAATTATGTCTACCCACCCCATGACTTCTCTCTCTCTCTCTCTCTCTCTCTCTCTCTCTCTCTCTCTCTCTCTCACACACACACACACACACACACACACACACACACACACACACATCCATTGAGAAGCCTTGCTAGAAAATGGTTGCTCAAAAATGTCAAATTGTCCAAGGTATACAGAACTGTATCAAG